TTTCTTTTCTTTTCTTTTCTTTTCTTTTCTTTTCTTTTCTTTTTTCTTTCCCCCTATATACAAACAGAAATCCTAAAACTCCAAAGGCCTTGCAGTCCCCAGATTCTGCAGCTGCCAGGACACACGTTTTCCTTTTGATTGCTCAAGATTTACTGAAATCTGTGAAGACAGATTCCTGGCAGCCACAACGTAGATGTTAGTGACAAAGTTGCAGCCAAACTCCTAAGTAAATGCTGTGTTTTTGAAGACCAACCCTAAAGTCAGCAAGCAAGACCATAGGGTAGTGCTCCCAATTAACTCCTTTATCACAAGGCGTACTTTCAAGGAGATTACACAGTACTTGGAGGTTTTTCTGTCTGTGGTTGTTTTTTGTTTTAATGCAAGTCACCTGGCTCCGCACTACTGCTTCAGAAGTGTATCCTTTCTAGAAACAAAGACCACTCCAAGCTCTCTATACTGCCTAATGAACTTCTACAGTCACTACTCTTAGTCCTGAGCACATCCTGGCAGCTAATGCTGATGTGTCAGACATGTCAGAGCTAACAGGGACACAGCAAATGGTTATTTTCAAGTTAACAGACTCAAATCATCTTCCACTGTATGACACAGCATTTCTTTAAGTTCAGTAAGTGGGGATGGTGCCAAGCAAAATGAATATAACATGGTTAAGTGCACAATGCAACAAGCATAAACTAAATCAATACTGTGCATATACTGTCACTGCCATGGAAAACCAGCTCCTCAGTACAATCTAATACGAGCTATACATACTCAGTTTAACAACACACTCTCCACTACTGTTTTCTTAATACAAATTTGCTCTGGAGACAAGCTCCACACTGCCAGGCAGAAACAGCCATGACAACCTACAATGCTGAAGGAACTTTCACATTTTTCTTACGTACTAAAACTGTTACAGTCCTTCCAAGGCATATATTAGCTGTACAGCCTCACTATCTTCCCTAGCAGAATGAGTTCTTTTGTGTGTGTGTTGTTTTTGGTTGTTTGCTTTAAATTAACAGGATTTGTTGTGGCTATTATAACAAAAAGCTCCCCCCCTATGTTTCTCCATTTGTTTTATGTCTACTTGAAAGAATTACCTAGCAAAACAGAGCAGCAGCATAGGTAAACTCTGACTTGCACGTGACATTCTGCCCCAGCAGGAAGAAGCATCCTTCTGAGAGCAGCACAGCCACCATCCATCACAGCACAGAAAGAACAACTCCCACTCCGAGCTCTTAGGATAACATGCAATCCCTTGTGGTCACTTATGTGGGGCTACCAAAGGGAACCTGAGACAGGTGATCCACAGAGCTGCATTCAGGTTTTCCTACCAAAAGGTAACAGGTAACAACATTGGCTGATATACTAATTGAAGACAGTGCTAGACATTTTCAAATGCTCAAGAAATCATCTTCTCTTCATTCCCTCAGTTTTTAATCAAGTCTGACCAAGCCTTGCTCACCTTACTCATAAACAGCCACTGCTGTGCACAAAAGCATGCGTTTACTACAACACACTGGAGAGTAAACCAGTTGTTAACTGGGCGTCATTGCATGGCTGCCAGCAATCACAGGAGATGAACCCAATGTCATCTTTTCTAATCTCATGTTCCCAAAATGCTGCTTCAGAACATATCCTTGCATACAACTAGAAACAAGTAACTGAGTACTACCAAACTAAGGCTCAGGAGGAAGACTTAGTTCCTAGAAAGAAAATGCTACTTGAACCAAGCCATCAAGCCATTCATTTGCCTTGACTATTAAAAGCACTTTATATCTACTTCACTATTTCTTATTTATAAACTACAGTGTATCTGCAGTTATATCTTACACAGAGAAAAGAAAGTTCTTTGGAATAAGATTCCCAAAAAGAAAAGGTGGTGGCAGTTACTAGCATAGTTACCACTACTATTTATGTAACAGAAAATATAGCAGTATCAGTGACAGCATTATAATCAAGGGATATTTATTTTCCTGTTTGGCCTATGTAACAAAACTTCACTCACATGTAAATTAGAGGTATTTCTTCTGTATTTGGAGAGTTACAAATGTCTGAAAGTATTTAAAAAGGACAAAGATTTCATATGCACTGCTCAAACAAAGCCCAAATTTGAAAACAAAAGTGCACTGTAATCTTCTTAAAGAGTCATTTCATCCCTAAATGCAAGACTAAGCAATTAACGAGAAAGGCAAATCCAGTTTTTGGTAAAGTTTAAAGATTTACAGTTGCAAAGAACTCCATGTTTGCTCAGCAGAAGGGAACTAAGTCCTTCAGTTCTTAACATCACAAACTTTTACTGCACAAAGTAATTCTACTTCATTCTGTTTCTATGAAATCTAGTGAACTGTGAGGCTGTAGTCATACATTCATTAAAATAATCTTATATGAAACAGCAACTCCATCCCACACTTTGTCTTGCTGGCCCACCCCCTGCGTGGCTCACTAACACCTCTGGTACCTGAAGTACCAGAATATCTGGTTCCAGCTTTTCACAATTACCCATTCTACGCACACCATCATTAATTCAGCAACAATGTCTTCAGATGTCCAGATTTCTACTACCAATGCCAGTGCTCACGTGGAGGTGCTTGGAGCAGAGTCCAAGCAATAGCACAATTCTCTTCATTCAGAACTCCCATGACTTCTAAAACAAATGCAAAGTTCCTGAGCACTTTACCACACTTTACCTTATCACAAGCAGCTAAGAAGTACAAAGCTGCTGGAAGGAACAAGGGAAAAACCTTTAACTCTTACCATATCTTTCACCTAGTAAGAGATATAGACAAGAAACCCGACTGATCAAAAATAGTTCTGTCAGCACTGAAGATACTGTTGAAATTTCATGAACTTGTGTTAAGTTCTAGAAACTCTGAGCAACTTCAGCCAATCACGATAATGTAC